ATAAGTAAATAGGTCGATTTATATTGTTATTATAAATGATATATCAGAGATACATTTCACATAATAGTGGCATCACTATCCCTGCATATTTTTGTAGCTTTTTTTCATATGTAGGTCACATATTCCTTAGAGGATATTCTTTGTTGTGTAATTATACAAACACCTGAAAGCTGAATGTGTCAAACTCACGGCTTTTATTCTCAATGAGCAGCACGGAACATTTTTAACATGGAGGGTTAGAGCGATACAGTATTGGATTGTGGCACCTTTTTATCGTTTTCCCCTGATATACCTTTCAACAAAGTCTTTATTAGGGTCATCGCTTCGATTATTAATCTTATTTCCTGAATCGGAATTGATTCGGGGACAAGTCTCCAGCGTTATTAATTGCCTTATTTAGGCTTTGGCATATAATCTGATCGTGGAATTTACCAGCGAAGTCTAAAATGCAGAGTGATCAGAAATCGGATGTCTCTGTCTACTTTATCTATAACGTTAGAAAGCGTGTGTTTTTGACAGTCAATGTTATCAGCGTTATTTTAGGAATTATACCTGGGACCGAAGCTTTAGATAAGTTCAATTGCTTCCCGAACCTCTTCTCTCTAAATAGTCGGTACAGCTTAGACTCAAAATTAATTTAACTTTTCGTTAACAGTTGTCTGTGTGAAAGCGACAAAAATTTTTATTGAAACAAAGATTGAAAACAAAAGTGAAAAAAGTAAAAATCAAAAATGAAGTGCAAAAAACATGTATTTGTGCAGTTAAAAAACAAGTAAAGTGGTGAAATAGTACATAAAAAATACAAAATTCCATAAATTACCTATTACATTACCTATTATTGCGCGAAAAAAAGTCAGAAGTGAAAAACAAAAAGCAAAAAGTGCTTTTGCAAAGCACATCACATTCAGCAATTCGTTTACAAAAAATATATGTATTTTTTACAAAGTGCGGTAAATCATATAAAAAATATTTCAAAAATCCCGCTTATGTGCTGTTCTGTATCGTTACAAAAAAAAATGCCGTTAAATATTAAAAGTGCCGAAAAAAAGTAAAGTGGTGCGAACAAAAGAAAAAGGAAATTAAAATAAAACTAAGGCAAGTGCACACTCAGTTTTTGGCTCTCCCTTTTTTTCATTATTTTTTATATACATATAATATATACTATTCAAATATGTATATCTGCATATGCATTTTGAGGTGAAAAAGGGATTTGCGGTCGCATTCTTATTTATACAATACATTAAGGTGCGACATTTTTGGCACCATAAAAAACGAAAATTTATAAAATTTTACAATTTGGTCAGTTTTTTGGCAAATTTTCTGGATTATCGGAAAATTATCTATTTTCAAAACAACATTTTTTTTCGCTTTCAAAAAAATTCTAATTGTGCTATTGCTCATTTTGCATTTCTCTCGGTTTGACTTTTCGTATAATCGAATCGATATTTTTTTCGTTTTCGTCAATCGACTCCTTATATTTCAGATTTATTTCTGGTGGCAACTTTTATCTTTTTTCGGGAATTTTAATTCAAAAAAGGAAAAATGAGCAAGTCAAAGCCTACTATCGCCAACCTCTCTCCAAGTAAGGAGTTGAGCGACTTAAAATCTTTAAAGCCTCAAAGAACGGTGACGAAATGCAGCATTTTGCGCATAAAAACATGCCTTCTCGAAAAGAATATGTCTCTAGAGACAATAGTATTGGATGTCGTCTCGACATATTAATTTCAGCCATTCATCTGCCACTATCCCAAAGCCATCAGCATTTTCATTGGGCGCGATGATCGATGAAGTGTCGGCTGTTTATGACTCCTTGCTATCGTTGGGCAATGATCAAATATCAAATACGATAATTATACATATAGTCATGACAAAGGTTGAAACTGAATATTTCATTTTGGACAGACTCTGAAATCGTGGAAACCCACAAATCGACTGACAAAATGTGTCAACAAAATAAAATCCTGCTGGTCAAGTGTTTCGGAGTTGCAAAATGGACGAATTGAATAATTCGAATCGGATCAGACGACCAAAAATGCTTACTGTGTGAAGGGATCTGACAGCAGACGAATTACACTTTAGTTTTTTTATTGTTCAGGTGGTCCAACATTCGGAATTTGCGAATGAAATTCAAAAAATTTTTTGCATGAGTACTCGGATATGTCGCTTTCATTCAAATTAATCCGAGTAGGAGGATTACCTATTAAATGCAACTTTCCCATACGAAGCCAAATTCCCATTATTACTGAATAAAAATTCGCATTTCGTTAACACTTATTTACGGTTCCTGCATTTAGAATTAGTTTCTGACTTATCGACTAATACCTTTATTTTCGCCCTAAAAAGTTTCATTGGTCGCCAAGGGATGCCCCAGACGATAAACAGCGACAACGGAACCACCTTCGTCTTCGTGAAGTCCGGTAAAGAGCTGGGAATACTCCTGGCCATCCTCAATTCGGGATCCCTCGCACCATTGAGCCAGGACCCCAACGGCGGCAAAGCGTTAACTCCGGCGCACCTAATCATAGAGTGCTCCCTCCGAGCCCTACCACCAGCACAAATACCAACGGACCCAATTCGTTGCTGCGAGAGATGGAAACATGTTTGCTGTCTCAAGAAACAGTTTTGGCGACAATGGTCCAAAAAGTACGTTACTGAACCCAACGATCTCGTCCTCGTTCACGAAGACAACATATCACCGCAGCAATGGGTACTAGGACAAGTCGCCGGAACCGTAGAAGGTACAAAACGGCAAAGTACGAGTGACAGACGTGGAAACCAAGGCAGGCACAATTAAGCGCCCTATTCACAAGCTCGTCCTGCTACATATCACTTTTGAAGGATCATGATCCTGTCAAGGTAGCCGGTGTTGCGTCAAGCGACTTTTCGAAACTAAAATAAAATATATGTTAAAAATAACCTTAAAAAATTAAGATTAATTTAATAATATTAGATTACAATAAATTGTAAATGTTTTATGCTGTGTAAAATACTTATATTTGTTATACTTATTACAAAACACATTATCTATTACAATAATATAAAACATGGAATTAACGAAATTGTTGAAATATACTTATACACCTCTTCGAATGCATAATTACTACTAGTTTAAACCGTTAGGTTAAGACTTAGACTAAATTATAATAAATGAAAAATTATTTTATAATAAAACCACACTCACGAACGCACGTTCTTTTCTTAACCAGATACTTTAAACTCGTCTAGGCACAGGCAATTGGCACTTTTTATTCAAGCTGCGCATCCCAATATCTTATTCCATCCCAAAAAAGCTTGAGAAAAAGCTAAACAAATAAAATAATGAAAATAATCAAGTGAATGACTAATAAACATGACAGAGAAATAAGTAATAAACTTCAAACAGATAAATACTAATTTTTTTGATTAATCAATTTGAACATTTTTTTCCGTCTTTGATCCGCGGAAAAACGTCGATAATATCGTCATAATTAATTTCTTGGACTAGTTGAGCTTCAATAGATAGTAAAGCCAGAGCATTAAGTCTATCTTGGCTCATGCTTGCGCGTAAATAGGTTTTACCCTTTTTAGAGTAGAAAAAGCTCTTTCTCCTTAATTTGTCGCCGGAATACTAAACAAATAAAGAGAGCAATGTCCACATTTGGATATATATTTCGAAGACTGCGTGAATGCAATACATTGCATATTTTTTGTACTGAGCGTACATCTTTTGAATATGCTAAGGATCGTTTGAGTTGACAATGTAAATGAGTACATTCATTGCCTAACGTCTCTTCGAAATCGTCAGGATACTTACTTTTTTTTAGATTTTTGAATTCGTTTGTATCTATCTCAGAATATATATGCACTTTTACGCCTGGCCAATTGTACATATAAAGTATCTAGAATAGGGTAATAAACATTTGTGCGAATATTTTCTTGTCCAGAAAAAAGTGTTTTTTCATTTACCCGACTCATCTGGCTGAATTTTTTTTTGTTTTTTTGCGACGAGTATCATAACGATAATAATTGTGAACTACAGATAGTGCTTTGGTGTTTTCTTCATATTCAGAAAATTGTCTGTCTCTCATGTCTTGAAGAAATAGAGCCAGAGATCTATAAATCTGAACATCGGATGATAAATCAGCTTGAGATTCTTGAAGCTTCTTATTAGCAGCATTGAAACAATCTAAAATTGCATTTCAAACGGTGACTTGGATTGCTGTTTCTAAATGCTGTAATTTTCGCTGCAATCTCGTGGCTTCAGATCGCGTAGTCGGTTTCTCAATTCTACTTTCGGCAATAAATTCCAGTGCATCATTATTGCAGACCACTCTTTTTCTAATGCATAACATGCATCATGTCGAGCAGACCAACGAGTTTGAGAAAGACTCTTAACTCTTAAATTTGTACGCTGTACTAAAATCTCCCAACGATGTGTAGATATATGTAGTATAGAAATTGTGGTGTTCTTGCAAAGTAGAAAATAAAATTTTTTTACCAATTATTTCGATGATTCAAAAAATTTAATAACGAAAATTACGGGATTTATTTTCATGAAAAATTAATTAAAAATGATATTCAATACATGCAATACTAGGGTATTCTTTTCACACTAAATCAAATTGAGAAGTTATTTAGATTTAGTACAATAGAAACTTATACATATATCCAAATTATATTTCTTTTCTCCTTATACTATTTAATTTCTATCATATATTTATACAATAATGACTTATAGCAGTGTTTTTCAATCTTTTTTATCTTGCGACCCCTTTACAGGTTGAAATATTCTGGCGACCCCCTTGTGTCATAGTAAGTCAAAGAAATAATTTAATTTTAATTAAAAGACTACATACGTTAGGTAATAAGTTTTTCCTATTTTGGCAAATTTATCTATTATTCGCGCGGGTCATACTGCGTCGGCGACGTTGCCACACCGCACGGCATGATTGTCGTTGCGGTAACAGCAAGCGCCCCGCGCGCGCCACCCGCAATTCCTTGGTTTCATCTCTCATCACTCAGTTAAGCGTAGGCGCCGATGAGTTCAGACGTCATTCTTTTGTTTTTTCGCTTGCTCTGCGCGTTTATAAAATGGATAAATTTCTCAAAAGATCACAGCCTTCAACATCTAGTACGAGTATCAATAGCGGTGGTGGTGAATCGAATCCGAAAAAAAGACATTACGATGATAGTTATTTGAAATACGGGTTCATAGTCATAAATAATAAACCTCAATGTGTAATTTGCGGCGATGTTTTATCACGTGAGAGTATGAAACCGTCAAAGCTTATGCGGCATCTCACAACCAAGCATCAAAAAGAAGCTGATAAGCCGTTGGATTTCTTTGAACGAAAGTTGAAAGCTCTTAGTCAGCAGCAAAATACTATAATTCAGGTAAGTAAGAAAATAATGAAAAGGGCGTGGGGTGCACTATAAATCGGCTCTTAAAAAGCGCCCCACCCTTTTTTCACAATAATACTATTTTTTAATTTATTTATTTTCCATATTAACAATTATTTTTGATTTTTTAGTCAAAGCGTGTTTTTTAGTTTTTTTTATACTATATTTTTACTGTTGGTGTTTATTTCTTTGTTATTTGCATACAACTTTTGATTATACTTAATTTCGGTGTGCAAAGGTTCCGCGTCCTTAATTTTTATCGACTGTTCACTTGTATATTGTTTGGTTTATTTTCAGGCATCCAGTGTCAACGAGTCAACATTATTAGCTAGCTCAAAGTCGCATATCGAGTTGCTAAAGCAGGGAAACCACATACAATTGCCGAAAATCTTATTTTGCCAGCGGCACTCGATATGGTTGAAATTATGGGCAGTAAGCGGGAGGCAAACAAATTAAGAACAAGTAAGGAAGGGCTAAGCTCGGATGTAACCGAACATTTTATACTCTCGCAAAGTCAAATAGTATACTCGTTTGAGATTTCTTTGTGGATTGACTGATATTTTCGGTAGAAGGTCAACTATAGGCATTGGGGTCCACATATTTAGTACTTAGGGGCTTAAACAGTTTTGGTTCGATTTAGACAATTTTTAACCACAATGCCACCTTGTGCGTAATCGCATTATTCACGCAAAGTTTTATCCCGATACAGTCATTGTTGTCTGATTTGCATAGTGGAAAGTGAAAGAATCAGATGGTGTTATATGGGAAGTAGGCGTGGTTGTAGTTCGATTTCGCCCATTTTCGCACTATGACATAGAAACATGAAAAAAACATTATGCACCGAATTCGGTTGAAATCGGTTAAGCAGATCTCAAGATATGGGTTTTCACCTAAAAGTGGGCTGTGCCACGCCCACTGTCTAATTTTGAACGCGGTTCCTATAAAGTCATCTCATACCATCCCAGAGATAAAATTTAATGCCTCTGGCGTGTTTAGTGTGCTTGATTTATAGCGCTTTTAGTAGTTTTTAACAGTACCGTTATATGGGAAGTGAGCGGAGTTGCCACTCGATTTCAACTATTTTCACACCGTCAATAGAAGTGCTAAAAACATTTGCTTCCAGTGAATTTTGTTATTATAGCTTTAGCAGTTTAAGAGATATGCACATAAAACCTATTAGAGGCGGGACCACGCCCACTTAAAAAAAAAATTTAACTGCAGATGCCCCTCCCTAATGTGATCCTGTGTACCAAATAACAGTTTTGTATCTTATTGCGGAGCTTAGTTATGGCAATTTATTTGTTTTTGATTAATGGCGTTTTGTGGGCGTGGAAGTGGTCCGATTACGCCCATCTGCTATACCAACTGTCTCACGGTACCAAGAAACATGTGTACCAAGTTTCATAAAGATATCTCAATTTTTACTCAAGTTACAGCTTGCGCGGACGGACGGAAGGACGGACAGACAGTCACCCGGATTTCAACTCGTCTCTTCATCCTGATCATTTATATATATATAACCCTATATCTAACTCGATTAGTTTTAGGTGATACAAACAACCGTTAGGTGAACAAAGCTATTATACTCTGTAGCAACTGGTTGCGAGAGTATAAAAATGCCACTTTCTGACAATACTATTTCACGCAGAATAAACGATATGGCCAAAGATATTCAAGAACAAGTAGTCGAAAAATTAAAGAATAGCCAACATTTTGCTTTGCAGTTCGATGAATCTACAGATGTTTTCGACTGTGCACAGTTTGTAGTATTTGTGCGCGTTGAAGCAGATGACAGTATTACGGAAGAAATCTTATTTTGCAAAGCACTTCCTGCAAGCACTACTGGCCAGTGTTTGTACGATATGTTTTTAGAAAGCACTTGCGACTACGATATTGATTGACAAAAATGTATCGCTATTTGTAGCGATGGCGCTAAAGCTATGACTGGCAAAAATAGCGGACTCATTGCAAAATTAAAATCGATAATACCAAACATATCCTGGACACACTGATTTCTTCATCGACAGGCTCTAGCTGCTAAGGTAGGACCTTCTGATTTAAATGACGTGCTCAAGGAGGTAATAAAAATTGTGAATTCTATCAAAGGTAAAGCTTTGCAAACCCGGCTATTCAGAATCGTTTGTGAAGATATGGGCTCGCTTCATCAAAATCTCCTTTATCACACAGAGGTCAGGTTCTGGAACTGAGAGCTGAATTGTTAATGTTCTTACAAGATGCAAAATCAGAATATGCTTACCGTTTTTCTGACCCTATTTGGCTCTTGAAATTACCATTTTTGGCAGATCTTTTTAGCCACCTTAACAATTTGAACAAGAACCTTCAAGGAAGAGAAGAAAATATTTTAACAGCTAAAGATAAAGTAAAAGCATTTCACGCAAAACTTCGTTTGTGGTCGACCTCTCTGCAAAATAAAATGTTTGAGTCTTTTCCGTGTGTTCAGAAGATTGTTGAAGATAATGCATCAGACCAAAGTTTTGCAGTATCGGCTCATATTCCTTGCATGATACAAAGCTTGCATAATTTACAAGAGAAACTTTTGACATACTTTCCAGACTTGCACTCTGAAGCTGACAATGGGCGTAGATGGATTTTAAACCCTTTTTTGGACAAATCAATAGATCTGGCTGATGCCAACACAAAAACGAAAGAATGTCTTCTAGAATTAGCTACTGATGGCATGCTTAAAATTATTCGCAAAGTGTCGACGTATTTTGGATGAAAAGAAAACACGAATATCCAGAGCTGGCAAGGGAAGCTCTTAAATTATTAGTGGAATTCGCCACTTCATACTTGTGTGAACTGACATTTTCTTCAATGGTAGACATTAAAACTAAAAAGAGAAATAGACTGCAATTAGAAAATGATTTAATTATTAAGGTTTCAAAAATAACACCACAATTTGACAAACTAATGAAAAAATAAGCACATCTTTCTCATTAAAATTGTGTTTTTGTTGTGTAAGAACCTCGACTTTTTATTTCAGCTGGCGACCCCCCGAGTAAGGCTAAGGGGGTCGTGACCCACAGATTGAAAAACACTGACTTATACAAAAACAAATTATACATATAATTTAAATTTTCTTAATTAGATTATTTACATATTTTTCTTAAAATTGTCTTAAAAAGTACTGTCAAAATTGCTATACCATTTCTTAATATATATTTGAAAAAAAAAATGAAGAACTATTGCAATAAGCTGTGTACTGTCTCAAAAGTAATTACATTAACATGGGAAAGATCCATGTTTGAAAATGCCCAATCAATTTGTGTAAAGGCAGGTGTAGTTGAATATTCTACACCAAGCAGGGAACAAAGTTTTTTCTTGGAGCAGATTTCCTATTGAATTCGCTGTAGACATTAAACAAATGTTGAAATCTCCAACAATTAGCACATTTTGATTGCCTAACTCAGAAGTAAGGACTTCCTGAAGTTTTACAATTAAATGTCTGACAGAGTAAGCTGAATTTCTGTATAGAACCAGAATATTAATATTGAAACATTTAAACAAAACCGCTTCTAAAACTTTGCAGCCTGAATACATTTTCTTTACAGCCTTTGATTCAATACAGCTAGCAATACTATGCTTTGCGTATATTGTAATGCCCCGTTTATTTCTGTTGCTTGTTTCCACCCCTGCGGGCAGGGGATAGAATATGCCCGCGGCAAGGCATGCCTGTCGTAAAAGGCGACTAAAAGCCAATATGCACTATGACTGTTATTATATTCTTTGCACAGTAATATCAGCATAGTATGTGGAGTGATAGTGCTATAATACTCAGCTTGAACTGATATTAGAAACACTTTAAATGAAAAAGCTAATAAAAAGACATTTGAAGTTCAAGCGACAAATGTCACCAGTCATTTGAGTAATGGGGAGCTCAACTGGCAGTAGTTTAGGCTACGCAGTCTGACCGGAGACTTTCCGGTACCACGGGGAGCAGAAAGCCCTTGGACTTCTGTTCAATCTGCTCATTGGGTTCGGCCCTTTGGGGAGTATCGTGGTGGCTGTGGTTTAAACCTAAATGCTGGAAGAACTGAATTTTCAGTTCGAAAAAAGAAGTTACACAAGTAACTGGGTGCCGTACCCGAAAACGGAAGAGGTTTTAGGTCGGCCTCGAATCACACCAAGATGGTAGTGTGGACCCAGACACACTGCCACTGGTATCCAAATAAATACTTGCAAAAAGCTCGTATTGTTTGGGGCGCTGATCAACGCATCGTATTGATACGTTGTGTTTTTGAACACCGTGAGGTAAGGCCGTCGCCGGCAGGTACTCACGTAAATCTACAACGAAAGTTGTTGCTTGTTTCCGTGCTATCTATCCTCAGCTTGTTAATTTGAGTAAATCCTGATATATCAAAATTTTCACACGGATAACTATAAGTTTCTACAAAACACAAAATATCTGAAGATAGCATCAAACAGTCGCTTTTTATATCATTAATGTGAGCATGAAGACTCTGAACATTATGGAAAAAAATTTGATGTCCTGATGTTCGGGAATTCATAAAACTGAAACTTGTTGTCAGAGCTTTATTTGTGTTCAATTCCCTCAGTTCCTTAAATACAGGATCCGATTCAGAAAATTTATTAGGAGGAATAAAATTTCCTATGATGCATAGACCTTCTGCAGTAGTAGCTCGACTGCAAGCGACATATATTGAAGCTTTAGGCATTCTGGGTCGAGTATGAACTACAATTTTATTATATGTGGCACCCTGATTTTTATGAATAGTTATTCCCTCAGCCGGAACAACTGGAAACTGATTTCTTTCAATTGAAATTTGTTTATTTCTTTTATATTGAAAAGATTTTAAAACTTTTTCAATTGGTGTCCAAGAACTTTCTAGAGGATAAGGCTTTTTTGATCGTGCAATCAAAACAACAGAAGGTTCCAAAAATTTAATCCACAGAATTGTTGAAAAGGAACATTGGAAATCAATATGCATAAGTTGTCCAGCTGCCCCATTAACCAAGCCATCACACGTGTTTATATTCACTGTTATCATATATTTGGCGGATGGTTTTAGTTTAACACTTTCCAAAATATTCTCATTTTCACTTATACCAATTCCTTTAACTGAGTCTTTTGCTTTAACTGAGTTTTTTGTTTCTTCAAATCACCAAACACGATGATCGGTATTCCACCGAAGGGACTGTCTGTTTTAATCTCGCATCAACAGAGCTAAACATACGAGGACCTACCATCGATATTTCATCAGTTATGATTAATTTTAAATCGATAAGTCTAAAATACAATGAATTAACTGTGTCATTGCTAAGTGGCCTCAACTCTCTACTCAACTGATTAACAGGTAAAGAGAATATTGCATGAAGGGTCATTCCATCTATTCCGAATGCTGCTTTACCCGTAGGTGCGCAAAGAAGAACTTTTAAGGAACTTGGATTGG